GGCGGGGTGGGGGGGGGAGACTTTTAAGCACCAATACTAATGTGAGGTCAAAGATATTTCTTTCTACAAGGTCTAAGATTTAGGCAAACTAAGCTTAGCAAGGCCAGGATAAGTATTTTATCAATCAAGCATTGTAAAAGATTTTTCAAGTTGTTGGTGATTCACCTGATCATTAGGAGCTTTCCACTTGCTGGCACAATGAGAAAGAAGGAAGCTCATCAAATGGAAAATTTCCATTTTCAGATCTGGCCTTGCCTGGAAGTAAAAATAGCATAAGGAAAATAGATCATTTAATAGATCCTTATTACAGGGGGAAATCAGCAAACTTACCAGCATTCGCTGCAAAAATACAAGATCCAAAAGAGCCACATTGTTCAGCACCTTCAGTACTCCAGTAGCCACCTCTTCAAAATTAGATGGAAGGATAAATGAGGCCTAGAAGAAAATGAAGTTGTTCGACTCAGGTATAACAAGAAAAAGATTAATAATTACTTATTGACTTATCACCAGGACAGACAAGCAAACGAAGGAAATAATTAGACATATAACAGAAAAAATGACCAAATTTTCACCCAAAAATAACAAAGAAAGCACTTGGTTAATAATAACTGATATGGTTTTGGGGGTAAATGACATGAGTAATTGCTCACCAAATAAACAAAGAAAACATTTGTTTAATAATAATAGCAATATCAAAAATCCACAGAAATTTCACAATAAAGAACTTCAAAATAAATTAAAAACTTGTGTGAATGAATTTGCAGGTTGTAGAAAACTCACTTGTTCAGAAGATGATCTATTGTTTGCTTGCAAAAGAACAGCAGTCAAAAGAGAAGGGAGACTGACTAATCCTGTTTCAGAAATAGCTGAAAGAAGAAATACTACTGGCTGAGCCAAATTTGATACTTTTTCGTTTTTCTGTACTGTAACATTTACCACTGTATGTTTCTCATCCTTTTGGAAAACAGGCATATTAGTAATATCCCCATTTTGATATTTCTTGGAATCATCTAGATCATCTATCTTTTCCGTATCATCATTTTTCAATTTAACAGAACTATCTTGCTCCAATTCACAATCCTTCCCAATAGAAATAGATTCATCATTCTTGTTCACCTTAACCATTTCATCCAATGGTCTGTCCTCGGGGACATCAGGTAAATGCACAACTGAGCTGGCATTAATCACTGATAAGGGAGTGTAATCTCCCCAGGAGTTATTCACCACAAAATGTGCAGAATCTGCAAACTTAGCCCCTTCACTACCAATTTCCTGCTCCATTGCCACAGGGGAAGATTCCCAGTTAATATAACTCAATCTTCCAGATCCGGAGGTCAAAACAACCAAAAGTTGTATGCTTAAGAGAATAGGGACAGGAAATGCTGACCCTTCCATCTGTGGCCTATCATGAAGAGCAAAAAGATCTCTTAACCGATGAATCACTTGATAGGAAATCAATAACTCCAGCAAGCCATCTCGCATCTGAAGTTGTCTTTCTTCTGAGCTTATATGACCAAAAATAGCAGTAACAGTCCACAAAAAATTATTTAATATCTCAGAAATTGATTCAAAGTTCTCAACTGATGCTTTACTTGATGGCACACTGAAATTGCCTGAAATACTTAAAGATGCTGCAATCTTTATATAATTTTCAAGAGCTGCTGAAAGCAACGGGATGATTGGAGGCAAAAGATTCTGTGCAAGGAAATAACTCCTATTTGCAGGTGTAGATAGCACAACTCTCAAGAGTTTTAACAAGTGCAACATAACCTGGCATGCCTCAGGTTTTGATGTGTGAGATGCAGGCAGGGCAGAAGCAATAAAATCAAGTAGTCCAGCTTGACGAGATGCTTGTAACTCAGGATCCTTGCCCTCCAAATACTAGAAAATAATAATTAATAAATTAATGAACATAGGGACAAGTTAAAAAAATTAACTAAAGCAATTAAAATTAAAAAATTAAAAAAAAAGGAACTTGGTTCAACGTCTAGTCAGGAACAAGGATTGGTTGGATAATTGTTCATAAAAGTAAGTGGTTTATAATTTCTGATCAAACAAAAACAAAGACCATATGCCAGCATCAACCAGAAAAGGACATAGTAAAGCACAACAATAACTAGAACAAATACAACAGCAAGAATCACTAGTTTTTCCAGAGTAATATTTATTCACTAACTAAACAAGAGCTCTCCAAGAAGTGTTATTTTAATTAGCAAAAGATTCATCAGAATTCAAAATGCAGGGACAAAAATAATGAAAATGAAATTTTACCCCACAGAGCAACATTCTTTACTTTAAAACATGTTAATAACTTATATTCATGGATAAGGAGTTATATAATTTCCAGTGAACAAAAAATTAATACCTTGATCATTTCAGAAATTATTAGCCCTATACTTGTGGCCCCTTCTTTTCTTGCTTGCCTAAGTCTTTGAAGTTCTTGAAGCCACCTGCCAACTTTTGCCCTAGCAGCACCCACTGCTACTCTATATCCCAGGCTAGCACTTTCACCACCAAGAAGGGGCTCAAGAAACTCATACTTTAAAGCCATAAGCCTTTGACGAATCCTCTTAATTCTTCTCTTTATTGAGTGTTGCAATGTGATGCTCCCAATTCCAAGACTAGTCCCAATGCCAGAAACAATATTCTGTTGAGAATCATCACCGCTGTTGGAAGGTGTAGATTTAGCTTGCCCCTCTTTATTTATCGATCGACGCAGCAAAGGAGATGACTGATCCCGCAAATTTGCTCTCTCCCGAATTTGCTCCAGGTAAATCTTACGGCGTTGTTCACTTTCATTTAGTCTCTCTGCCAATTTCTGAGCCAAGAGTTCAGCTTCCTCTTGTTGTGCTTTCGCTCTTTCTTCCTTTCTGCGAAGCTGTTCAATAGCTCTTGCTTCCCGTGCTGCACTTGATGCTTTTCTTTCCTCTTCCCTTCTGACTTGAGCTTCCTCCTTTCTCCGCTGAATCTCAGCAAGACGCTGTAACTTTTCAGCCTCAATGAGTTTTCGACGTTCTAGAACAGCTTCCTCTCTTGCCAAATCCTCCTTTTGCTTAGATTTTAGCACTTGAAGCTTTTCAGCTCTCCTCAACTCTGATTCATGAAGTTTCTGACGCAACATCAATTTTTTATTTTCTTCATTTAAGGAAGTAATAAACCGAACTTCATTTACCTTGCTACTTTCATCACCAGCTCTCTTCGCCACTTGAGCTAGAAAAGCTTCATGACGAGATTCACTGCGTTGATGGCGGGCATACATGCCTTCTCGCAACTTCATATGGCGAACAGCATGCCATTCGTTGACACGATTTAATTTTTGTGATGTACGTTGAAGCTTCTGGACTCTCTCATTCTCTAACTCACTTCTGATTCTCATAGCACGGGCATGCTTTTCTTCTGCTTCCCTTTTTAAGTCTGAAGTTGTTTTCTTCTTTTTTTCAGGAGACATTAGTTTATCATGCAGAGTACGTACACGCTCGGCACTTTTCCGGCCCAGACTTGGTGAATATGGCATGCGGGAAGAGACGCGAAATGGAGATGAAAGTATGTCCTCCCAGTTCCTCTTCTCCTTCCAAGCATTCAAAGACTTTCCTGGGGCGATACTCCTTTTTTCCTTATCTTTTTCAGGCAGTGGCATTTGCCGCCTAAGGTGATCTGTGGATCTGATGTTTTTCTCATTAACAACTTCTGTAGATACTTTATCTTTCTTAGAAAGCATCTTGTCAGATCCAGTTCCAAGGTGATCTTTTTTACCCTTGGTGGTGGCAAAAGCAGAAGAATTTTCCATGGGAGGTAATTTAGATAACTTAACTTCTGAAGTTAATATACTTTCTGGTGGGTTACATCCATTTTGCATTGTAATCGAGTCACTGGGTTTTCCCCCTCCAATATTATGCTTTTTTTCATTCGGGTTCCCTTGTTTAGCATCTGATGATCCAACATGCTTTCTTGACTTTGTCACTGAATATTTGGCATCATGTGTTCCATCATTGACCCTGGACCTGTTCTTATTGCCAATAGATTCAGAACTCAAACATTTAGACATGGCATTTTCTGTGGAACCTGATTGCAAGCTAGCACGCTCTAGCTGAATCTTTCTAAAAGCCTCAAGAGATGAAGATAGAATATCTGCCCTATGAGGTGAAGTTGTCATCCTTCGGACCTAGAATCAATAAAGATCATCTGAACATCTTAAGCATAAGAAAGCCAGATTATAAAGATTTCAAACAGGTAATACTCAGTCTCATTTGTGAAGTCTATGGACCAACATCTTTGAAACCAGAAATCAAGCAAGCAAATGGGTATAGACCATAAGTGATTTCATGCTTAAATGTTGTTTCATTTATATCTTTTTCTAAATCCAAGACACAAAGATGAACCAATGACTGTTAGTCTAAACTACAACAATGTTTAATAACACAAATTTTTAAGTTATCCAGTTGGGATGCCATGAATTTCACCATGTATAAGTTATAAAAGTAGAATAAACAAACAATGGGTGAGTCGCTGAGATCTTGTAACAGTGTTAGATGAGTAAGTTTACACTTCGTTCATTTGATCCTAACAACTCAATACTCATTAGACAATTAGAAACTCTAGATACATAAAATCACCCAATGACCCAAACAGATGCATATTTATGCAGAATTAATTTACAGATAAATATCAAGACTTCTGTATCAATTTATGCCATTATCAGTTAGTCAGAAAAATAAGAAGGAAATAAAAAGAGACTGTATATATAATGTCATTTAGTGAATAATTATTCCCCACTCGTGCATAAACTCACATGCAAATTACACGTACATTGTCCCTCGCATTCAATGATAACAAATGTTATTATCTTTAGATTTCATCCATTCTAAGAACTGAAAGACCTATCAAGTTATATACATTTTCTTAATAAGACATGGGCTCTTCAAAAAAACAAATTAATCATTAGCGAATCAATTTTATTTTCTTTGGCAGAGGATCTACTGTTGTCAGGCACAAGATATAAATTTCATGATGTAGCATTATGGAACCACAAAATATCAACCTAACCATGGAAGGAAGCAAATTAAAAGCAACAATATGTAATCAACCATACCTCCCATGAGAGAGCGTGTGGCCTGCGGTGATCACTCTTCAAGATGACAGGAACTCCATCAATTATTTGGGAAGATTTTTTAACCTTTTCAAATTCCTCAACTCTAGTAATTAGCTCTCTAAAATCAGATGCAGACTCCTCAAGAACAAGAATTGCCTCTTTCATCTGCTCCAAATCACATTCTAGTTCACAAAGAAGATAAAGTTCATCTACAGACCTATTAAGATTCTCAAACAGAAAGCACCAAAGCCTCTGCCTAAACCTTTCTTTGCTTTCATTGGAATCACCTTCTTCAAGAGGACTCATATTATGAGATGTTGAAACAACATTTTCCTCATTACCATCGTGTGGATCCCTAACCACTTCAGCAGAAGCCACAGAATCATTGACAATTTCAGAAACTTGTGACTCGGTACCCAGGGCACTAAATGCTTCACTTAAGCTTCCATTTTGTTCTGCCGCTTCAGAAACTTTTACATCACCTACCACATTGCTCAAGGTATGTTCTTGATTTGCAACCACTGCAGCATCATTGGCAGACAAAATATCATTGTTAATGGCACCATCAGTCGTTGTTTTATTCACTTCATCATTTTTCTTATTGCAATGTAGTATATCATCTTCTGGATCAATTCTTTCCTCGTTCATTTGTTGGTTTTTCAAATGTTCCAAAGATATGTTCTTAACATCTTTACCATTCTCCAGAATATTTTCGTCTTCACATCTCATCGAAAGGATCTGATCAGAAAAAGCCTCTGCGTCAACAGTAGTTGCTGTCATGTCTTTTTCTTGAACATTATATGAACCACAAGGATCAGGATTATTCCCATGATTTCTACAGTTAAGCAAACTATCATCTCCAATACTGCCAAACTTGATTCCAACTCCAATCAAGTTTTCATGGGGCAGTGCCAAAACTCCTTCCTCTAAATCACCCCATCTTGTTTTCTGAGCTAAGTCAGGCTTATCCGTTTGGTGTAATTTCCTAACTTCTTCAAGTTTACCTTGAGAATCCATAGGAAGTAATGCATTTGACTTCTGACATTCAGTATTATGTCTAACTACACTTGTATTAACATAGTTGGTGCCCTCTTTTTCATTGGATCCGGAGGGAGAACTCGCAACAGTCCCAGGCACAGGGTTCTGTGAAAAATTGCCCCCTGACCTTGAAAGTTGAGTTTTCTGCTGGCTATGTGAATTGACATTACTTTTAATCATGGAATGCTGAGTACGCGGAGAGTTAGAAGCATTTTGCCCCGAAAATCCCCCCACCCAGCTCTGCAAAGAGAATTTCGAAGTATTTCTGTGCTTCTGGATAAGAAAGAAACAGCACAATTAGAACATGTAAAATGTAAATGTAAGTAACACTTGTTTAATACAAGACTGAAATACAACCAAATAACGATATGATATACAAGAATTAACAAACATATGGATGCTAAAAGACTGATCCATCCATTGTGAATAATCGAATTAGTAAATAACTTTAGGCTAGGTCTACATTTTTCCTTAGCGTGTCTTCAATTTTATCTCGCATCAAACAGAGTTTTAAAAAAAATTAAAAATTAAAAAAAATATATTAAGAACCTTTTTGACTTGGAACCATCCTGTGTTCTGATCATCAACTAGTTCATTGTCCTCCATCACGAAACGAGCAATGCACTAAGTGATTTACGTGAAAGAAGGTAACAAAATTCCATCGAAATTCGGACAGGGAGAATAGAATACGAGACTATTGAAATCGAGAATCATTAGAGGAGCATGGATTGGGAAGGAATTTGAAAGGTAAAGTGAAATAGTGGGAGAGAAAAAGAAAGGGAGGGAGAGGAAAAGCGTGGAATCGGAAGAAAGCAGTTTTTGTTAGGGTTTTGAAGAAAATTTGGAAAAGGAGGGAATGAGGTTTATAGGTGAGTTGAGGAACAGCATGCACACCATTCCCTTTTTTCTATTTTCCTTCCTTCGGTCGGTGCACTGCAGATACTTTACCTTAAAACACTTTTTTTTTTTCAGTTTTATTAGCAGTGTTAAAGGACTTCCAAAGTTTAAAAAAAAAAAAAAAAACGATGGAAAAGAAACGAATGTAATTTTTTTATCAGGGCAAAAAATAAATGACCTGTGTACTTTTAAGCATAATTTAATGAACCAAAATAATTTTATTTTCTTAATATTAGACGATGTTGATAAAACTGTTTTTTAAGCAAATTAGTAATTTGGTTGATCCAAAAAAAAAAAAAAAACGAAACTAACTCAAATTTCTTAATCACGAGATATCATGCTGCAATTCGGAAGAAAAAATATATATTTACTTGATAATTTATACATTTTCAATATTCAACTTGATGAATTGTTCCATCAAACCCAGTAAGATTGGTACAAATTAAACAAATTCAATATAATATAATCCGACAATTTTTAATTAATTTCGATTTAAAATTTTCTTCAACCTATTTTTATTAGGAGAAAATAAAGAAATTTGTTATTCATTAGGAGAAAATAAATTATCTGTGCCTCTTTATTTAAATTAAAAAATATATAATAAGTGATTATTTATGTTTTGTTTAGTGCAATGAAAGAGAGGGAGAGGGAACCGTGGAGATTATAGGGTAAATTCATCATTGTTAGTTGTTTGGCAGAGAAAAAAAAGGATGAAAGTATGCGGATTGTTGATGGATTTTGTTTGAAAAATCACACTCTTAAAATTGAGAAGATTTCTGCAAAAGTAAAGATAACTGTTTTTCTTTTCTTTTGCCCCGATTAAAAAGACTCATTACCAAAATATTATTGTGTTTATCTAAATCTATTTTTCTTAATAACTTATGTTTTACATCAAATTTTAATGATATAATTATTAAATTAAAAAAATTTAATACATAAATTAAATTTATAAATTTTTAAGATTTTAATAATTATTTAATATTTTATTTTATTAATTCAAATTAACTTATAAATTATTTTTATGATTAATTATCAACAAATCTAAGTAGACTTGTTTTTAAAGTAAATAAATTCTCCCCATATATATGTATGCATAGGAGATATCCCCTTAATTTAATGTTTTGTTTGGGGAAGGAAGATGAATAGAAAAGAATGAGAGAGAATAGGTGATAATTTATTTGATAGGAAATAGATAAGAAATAGAATGAAATAATATGAAAATTGTAGTTATTTGATAGAGTTGAATTAGGTGAGAAATAAAGTAAAAATTGGTATTTAAAATTACTATTTTACTCATTCTTTACAATGTAGTTTGAATTATTATTTTTTAAATATTGTAATTTTACATATCTTCTAAATTCTATAAGAATCCTCTTAATAGAAAAGGTATTGAAATAATGTGGGACTCGTTTTTAATTTCTCACAATTGTCCTTAAATACTTTCTACTAAATATAAATATTTTGTTCATATTCACCTTAATCCATTCCCCTTCTTATTAAATCATCTCCACTAAATATAGATTAAGAGTAAGTTTCACTAAACTTACTTCAAAAATAGTAAAATAAGTTCATTAAAGAAATATATTTTTTCAAATTTCAACAATTATACGTAATTGTAAGGAGTTTAACTCACAACCCTCATATGTTTTCAAGAGATGTATCTTATAATTAGACTTACATTTGTGTTAATTAAAGATGTGAAACAAATGATATATATATATATATATATATATATATATATATATATATTATTTTTAAATATATTTAAATATGTTTTTAGTCCTTCAAAAAAAATTTAGTTCTTATAATTTCAAAAAAAATTATTTTAGTCTTTATATTCAAATTTTGTTAGGGAATCTATCAAATATGGTCACATAAAATCTATCTACTAGTATCTTTATTGTTAAAAACATCACATTAAACTCAATTAATGTTGTATAATTGTTTTAATCTGTCACTTTTAAATATGTTATTACCTTATTGGTGATCTAAGATATTAAAATAAGATTTTTGAAAATTACAGGAAGTCAAAGACTAAAAACAAAAGTCTTAAATTTGAGAGACAAAAAAATTTTTTACTCTAAATTTGAGGGGATAAAAACATATTTAAGCCTTTTAAATATTATGTTGTATAAACTAATTTAGACGGTTCAACTAATGATATACTAATTTGACCAATAATATATTAATCCAATACTTTAACTAAGTTGATGATTGTCCCAATTATGATGACATTGGTATAAATTGACATTTTGATCATCAAAATATATATAAAAATAGTCAACTTATCCCCTTTTACTACTATTGTTATCAATTTTCTCTAACACAATCTTTGGTTGTAAGGAAAAATATGTGAGAAATAAAGTGAAAAAAAAAACAAAAGAAAAATAAATAAGAGAGTAGATATAAGGTAAAAATAAGATTATTTGATTTGAGATAAATATATAAGAACTAGAAATAATATAATATTATAAAGTTGTTTAGTTTGAATAGATGGAAGAAAAAAAATATTTAATAATAAAATTACAATATTATCTTCTAATAAAATTATTATTTATTCAAATAAATAATATGTTTACAACAATTTCAATATATAATTATTTAGTATAAAATTATAAAAATAAAAGTTTATCAAAACCTCTTCTCTATTTTCGTTGCTTTTTAAGGAGAAGTTTATAGAAGTGTAAATTCTTCCTCTAATACATTTTTTGTAAAATAAACCGACAACTTTATTTCATCACACGTATTTCTTTGCCTTTTCTTCTATTTTGTTGTTTGTATTAAACCAAACACAATGTAAAAGTGTAGGAGGAGAGAGGAGGGAGAGAATAGAGATGCATTGCGTGATGCAGAAGAAATTAAATGGTTGTACCAATGCAGATGAGGACAAAGAAGGTAGAGAAGCATATGAAGTGATAAAGGAAGAATGTGTGGTTGTAGCAGTAGTGGAGGATGAGGACGAATGTGACACACCACAAAACACCCCAACCTACAATTTAGTCAAATGCAAATACACCAATAAACTCTGCTAATGCATGGAATAGACGAACAAGTTCAACAACCCAAATTTGAAGCTAAGAGCATTTGGAGCTGCTTATAAGCAACTCATTATGTCACATCAATTTTTTTTTTCTTTTTTCTTAAGTAACATAATTTCTACAAATAATTTTGTTAAAATTTAAGTAACTCATTTTAATATTAAATAATGAAAAGAGTTGATGTGGCACAATGAGTTACTTAAACAACTCACGCTAAAAATACTCTAACATGCAAGATCAACGGTTGATAGAAGGTGTCATATCCTAAATATATATATATATATATATATATATATATATATATATAAATTA